TTTTCTCATCTGCTTTTGCTTTTAAAATAAACTCAAATCAGTTTAATTCACACAACTTAACTCAGTTCAAGTCAACTAAACTGAATTTAAAGGTATAGTGCACATGCACAACCCTGTAGCCGCTCCCAGGAGGGAACACTTATTAGACGCCTGTGAGAGCATTCACAAGCCCATCTCTCCTTCAGCATGATTGGGGACGCAATGATAAAACGGTCGCTCACCTCACCTATATTTATATATAAAAAGTTTCCCTGCAAATAAGACTACTGGTACATTAAAAAAAATTTGTGACTTGTGTCATGTGTGTGTGCTGAAGTGGAATTTTGGACATGCGGGGTAAATAAGAATCTTTGGCCACCGTATACCTACTAATGATGCAAATTACAAAATAAATAAACTTATCTTCCCTGGAAAGTTACAATATAGAGGTAGATAACCTTTACTAGCAGTGATGTGAAATGGATTTTTCCAGATAGTATCCCAAACTTTACCTGTCGAGTAGAAACTCTGCAACCGAGGTTTCGGTGGGAAGCCCGATCTCTGCTTTCAGTGTACGCGATCTCGTGAAAAAACAAAAACACTCTGGCCTTGTTTCTCTCTTCTGAGGCTTTTCTTCTCATACACTTTGTAGACACTTCTTCACTTACGACCCTCGGCTAGCCTAGTAAAATATCCCCACCCTCCAGCGGCCTATATCATTTTTGCCTGCGAGTGGTCTAGCCTCGATCAATGCCCCAGGCCCTAGAACAGGCGGGCCAATCAGAACGCAGAGATATGTTTGAATTTTTTTTGGACACAAAGCAGGTGAGGTTTGGAGGGCGTGACGACGACGCTGGAGAAACCAAAACACGGCAGATGGAAACAACTATTGAACAGTTCTTATTTGACTCAGCTTTGGAATCAGTTTTGGAAGGATTAGTTTAGGAAGGGTTTTGGTTGAAACAAGAGCAGAAAGAGGCTCTACGCTGCCGTTTTATGGACAGGCTGTTTGTTTACACTCCCCCACCAGCTTTCTGACGCCCTTATTACATCACAGTCAGTTGCACTCATTGGTCAGAGCTTTGGCCAATACGAACAGACATGGTTTAAAAGACAACGGGTTGTTCTCATCAACAATCTTCCGACGTCTCATTCATCGGGGCCAGACTAAATTACACATTTAATCACACATTTAGTCTGGTTAATCAGGCTGGCAAATATCGGCTTCAGAAACCCTAGGTGTCTGATGTTAAATGTGAGAAATGCACCTTATGTTGTTGACGCAATCCTCGTGGGCTTCTGTGAGGGTTTTGATGTGTCTGGATGAGATGGGGTCAAACAGGAGGACCTCAGTCTGCTCACAGGCCACAGTCAGCACAGACCTGAGCAGAGAGCAAAAATAAATACAGACTCTCTGGACAAAAGAAAGGAAGTGGGTGAATCCTGTAAAATTAAAACTGTAAAGCCGTAAGGAAAAAACACCCCTAAGCTCTTTATAATAGTACATAAAACGTACAAAAACTATGATGAGCTTTTTTTTTCTTCTTCTTCTTTTTAAAGTGTCCTATCTGGCAATGTGGCAATAAGAATAATGATCTTGATGCTAAAAACAGCCCAACAGATTTTACTTTCACAAGTGGAGCAGTACGGCTATTGCCATAGTGTTCCGCTTGATTTATGCATATAAATAGCTACAGTATATTATAATTATGCAGGGAATTTACAGATTATATGGACACTGCAATGTAAGTAGAACAGGAAAGGAAAAACAGGAAAAAAGGAGAAAAGATCAAAGAAAGAGGAGATAAAAGGGAGATAATGATAAAACATCTTCAGTCTGCTTCATCACCTGCAAAGAGATGTACTGTAAAAAAGAACAGCACAACCAATGGACATGGTACAAGATATACAATAAAGTATCACCTAGATACTATCGGTGAAGTAAAAGTAGTATTATTTAATCTGACATGTATACTGTGGTAGCTGAAGATAAGAATATGAGCCTTGTGTATGGAAGTGAATCTCTAAGAGTCTCTAGTCAAAAACTAGAACAAGCATTAAAGTGCATCAGAATTTATTTTATTTTTTTTACTTATTTAAAAAACTGGGAAAGATTTTTTGTTTGCATTTCAAGTCCAGAAGCATCCCTGTTAAAATATCATGGACAGGCTTATTACTCTCAGTAGCTAAAACATAAAAAGAGAAACTCATAATATAAATTCAACACACAAAGAGATCAATTTCATGCATATATTCCTGTTACTGCTGATGATTATAGCTTATAAGCATTTATACACTGAATTTTGTTTACATTGATTTATTTAAAGCAAAAAATGTCCTTAAGTTATGACCTACACACTAATAAAGGACAGCTGATGACCAGAAGACCTGTGTCTGTTATTACCTTTTTTATACTGTAGATTGTTAGAAAGGGGTTTGATCAAGCAATATTACTAAAACAGGGAATAAAAGTGAACAACAGAAAGCATAAAACAAATGACCCATTTAAAATTAATTAGTTAGAGAAACTTTTAACAGAAGCCTTTATGCCAGCATGAAAATATTGGAGATTTTAAAATCCAGCAGATAAGAAAAAGGAGGGAGATTTCTGCTGAGCACACAGCTTTAATGACCATGGGGACTTTCTTACAATAAGACCCAATAAGGCTGAAGCCAGTGCCACTACAGACTTCCTATAGTGTTGAACACATGCACATCATATGCAATAAGTAGATCATTTTGTGTTGATAGTCGTTAATTGTTCTCCCTGTGCAGGAAGGACTCACTGCTGCAACATACAAACAAACATGACCCAGACCAGACAGCTTGACCCGCTTTGGCTGCAGGATTTAGGTCCTTCATCTGCTGTCTGCTCCAACCCTGGCTGTGATCATAAGCTGCTGCACTAATCATGCAGGTAAATGTAACTTTGCATACAATTAGTGTAAACATTGATGTCCCAAAGATCGGAGTACTCACCCGTCCGGCGAGTACTCCAGGTTGAACACAGCTCCGTGGGTCTGAGAGCTCAGATTAACTGACTCCACGGCCGGGTTCATGGAGCAGTACAGGCTGGTCATTGTTCTGAAGTTATCCCTGGCTGGGTCCACGAACAGCCCCCGTCGTATAGTCCTCCTCTGCAGCCATGAAAACAGGCTGTTCCCCCTGAAGCTCTCGCTAACGGAGCTCCCACCGCCGCCAGCTTGTGGAGCGGCGACCGGCGGGCTGCAGCGCCCTCCGTCCTCCAGCCGCGGAGAGCCGCTGCGCTTAGGCCGTTCATCGCTACTGCTCTCCGGCGGCGAAGCGCAGACCTCCCTGGCGGCGACGTCTTCCTCCTCCGACTGGTGGGGGACAGGGTCTACTTCCTTGCCGGTGCTGCCGGGCCTATCCTGCGGCTCGTCGGCGTCGTCACCGTCGCCCTGGTGCTCCGAGCTCATCACGGCGGCTTCGGTCGGCTCGTGTCTCCGGGGGTCAGCGCCTACAGCCAGCCGCAGACAGGATGCAGTCAGTTAGCAAGCAGGGGTCCATTGAACATTTAGGGTGCCATGACGGGCGACTGGAGCTGCAAAGGAGCGACAGTTAAAACCTATTTAGCTGCCAGATTTAGCAGCACCTTTTCGCCGCCCATCAAAGCGACAGAGACCAGCGCCAATCTGACCGGAAACAGCAGATTACCCTTCAAAATAAAAGGCGCTTCTCGAATTTTACAGAAAGATTAAACAGCTGACTCACAAAACGCATGGGCGGTTCTAGACAGTGGCAACAGGGGCCAGTGCCCTCTTATTTCCTCTTTACTTAAAACGTAGAAAGGAAAAACTGAAAAATAAGTAAGTCTGTGTTTTTCCCCTTTGGTTTGAGGATGTATCTTGGAGAATTTGACAATGTCAACTACAGTGTAGTCGGTTTACTTTTCACTAATATATATATGGTCAGTACATTTCTGCAACTACATTGTAGTCTCCCCTTAGCTCTCTACTGTGCAGTTATTTTTATATCTGAGGGAAACATATTCCAGCACAATACAACTTTTTCCTTTTTTGTGTTTTTCTTTCTTTTGGTACAATATACACTCTTTTTAATATTGTATTTCTTTTATTTATATATATATATATATATATACCTTTAATGGCATCTTACTTTAACTCTTTGTACTCTATATGAGCCAGAGGTGGGGACTCGAGTTTGTGACTCGTACTCGAGTCGCACTTAAGTCGCATATTTAATGACTTCAGACTCGACTTAGACTTGCATTTAAAGGACTTCAGACTCGACTGAGACTCGTGATTTCTGACTTGTGAACAATATTTTATTCCAGTGTAAAAACACTTAAGTGTTTTT